TATATATATAGATATATTTAGTTTTAGCTTGGTTCAATTTTGAAATTTATAAATAATAAAAAAATATTATAGATAAAGATTTTAAAAGTAATAAGTAAGGTTAGTAAGTAAATATGAAAACTAATTCATTAATCAAATCTTCTAATCAAGCTAAAATATTTTAAAATATATATATATGTTTAAGGGCTTTTCGGGCTGGTCCGAGCCCGACCGGGTTAAGCCCAAAAAACCCTTTAGCCCGAATGGGCTTAGCCCAAAAAACCGGGTTTTTTCTGGACATATATATTTAAGTCCGAATCCGATGTTTTTCCGGGCCGGGCCAAACTAGCACGTGGGCTTTAGCCCTAATTGACATGCCTAAGTGAAGTCAGAAATCTGTTTTTTTTGGGTAGAATTCTTTTGAAAAATTATTAAAATTGTATTTAAATAATTAAATATTTAATTTTTGTTGACTAGATATAATAGAAATAATGAGAGTATATCGGTAAATAGATACATAAATCTAAATTGTCGCACCCTAATTCTAAGGTTCCGAATGGTAACTATACCGAACTACAAAACAGTATCGTAACAGTGCTGTAACAGTGTCAAAATATCTACATATATATATATATATATATATATATATATTTTCGCTATTATTTGAATCGCACCGCATTTCTCCCGCAGTGAAAACTGTAGTTACCATTCGGACCCTAAGTTTAAAATTTGGATCGTATAGGGAACCAAAATTTGTTAAAAGCTCTCGAATCACACCACACTTCGTTTTGGCATCCAGTGGTGATATGCGATTAAAGTCATTTAAATATGCATATTGGCCGATGGCACATAAAAGCACATTTATCCAACAAGAGGACTCTCGTTTTTGAATTAAAATACTAAACTTTGTTCTGTTTTCTAACTTAATAGACGGCACGTAGTTTAGTTTTCAAATCATAGAACAACACATTGTTACAGTGGGAGTTTGCTTCTTCAGAGAGAAACGTTGGTTTCGTCTTCTACATCTCAAGGAGACAAACAAAAAAAAAAGGCTTCGAACAGCGAAAAAGCAACAAACTTTGAGTAACAAAAAGTAAGTTTTTTTTTTTTGTTTCTGCAGATATAATTATGATTGTAAGAGTGAGATAATTGCTTGATTTGTTCTGGGTTTAACTGCAAATTTGGGATTGTTTGATCTTTTTGTAATTTGATTTTTCTACGATTAGTTTTGTGATTTGTGTCACTGTTATGTTTAGTGAATCATCATATGACTATTTCTGGAGAATTTTAGTTGACTCATCATGACTTTGATCCAATCCTTCAAAGGGGTATTAGAAAAAGTGAAATTTTCATGTTTATTGAGTAAAGAATCGTCTTTGTTGGCTAAATTGGTTTCTTCTAGTTAGAAAGATTCAAACTTTATGAAATTGAACACTATCACGGCCTAAAAGGTTGGCTTTTTTAATTGACTCTTGTCTGTGTTGCAGAAAAAGTAGTTTCCATGGCGGCATTGGAGGAGCTAAAGAAGAAGCTTTCTCCATTGTTTGATGCTGAGAAGGGTTTTTCTTCATCCTCATCGTTAGATCCCAACGATTCATATCTAGTAAGATTCTTTAGACTCCATAGCGAATAAGTTTTTGTTATGTGTAAGGCTTTTTTTTATTGTGTTTTGATCATCTTCTTCTTTTGTTTGCGAAGTTATCAGATGGTGGAACTGTTAATTTGCTTAGTAGATCATATGGAGTTTACAACTTTAACGAGCTCGGGTTACAAAAATGTACATCTTCTCATGTGGATGAGTCTGAAAGTTGTGAGACAACGTACCAATGTGCTTCCCATGAGATGCGGGTTTTTGGAGCTATAGGAAGCGGAGCTAGCAGCGTTGTTCAACGGGCTATTCATATCCCCAATCACAGGATTCTAGCTTTGAAGAAAATTAATATCTTTGAAAGGGTAATGTAACCTCCTCTTTGTATAAGAGAAAATGTGAATCCATTTAGTATGTCATTTTGAATATTTACTGATTTGGCGAGCAGGAGAAAAGACAGCAATTGCTTACAGAGATACGGACATTGTGTGAAGCTCCTTGTCACGAAGGACTTGTGGACTTTCACGGAGCGTTTTATAATCCAGACTCGGGACAAATCAGCATAGCTCTTGAATATATGGATGGAGGATCTCTTGCAGATATCTTAAAAGTAACAAAGAAGATACCTGAGCCGGTTCTTTCATCAATGTTCCACAGACTTTTGCAAGTAAAGATACTCAACTCTCTCCAGTGTGCAGCATTTCTGTGTTTTGTTAAGTTTATATTAATTTGTTCTTGGTGCGGCTTCGTTTCAAGGGATTGAGCTACTTACACGGAGTTAGACATCTTGTTCATAGAGACATTAAACCTGCAAATTTGCTTATAAATCTCAAAGGGGAACCAAAGATAACTGATTTTGGTATAAGTGCTGGTCTCGAGAATTCAGTGGCTGTGGTTAGTGATGGAATCTCACGCTTTAACCTTATAAATCCAATAATTCTTGTTGGACTTTCTAACTTAATCTGAAAAATGGTGGTTGCAAAGTGTGCTACGTTTGTTGGAACTGTCACCTACATGTCACCGGAGCGAATTAGGAATGAAAGTTATTCTTATCCAGCTGATATATGGAGCCTTGGTCTCGCTCTTTTTGAATGCGGCACTGGAGAGTTTCCGTATATAGCTAATGAAGGGCCTGTTAATCTTATGTTGCAGGTGACTCCTCAAGTTGTCCCTGGATCCTTTTTTCGAATATACTATTTATGATTTACACTAAATATCTGTCTTTTTGGTTATGGGATTGGAAGATCTTGGAAGATTCATCACCAACACCACCAAAACAAGAGTTTTCACCAGAGTTCTGTTCCTTCATTGATGCTTGCCTCCAGAAAGATCCAGATGCTAGAGCAACCGCTGACCAGGTTAGTATATTGAAATGTCATACCTTTCGAAGCTCACTACTTTACCGAAGTAGTTCATTGTAGAGAAATGTTATTACAAGTTTGGTGCTTTTCTTTGTATATTCCTGTTTTAAAGAAAGCTTTGGTTAAAAGTTCAGTATTCTTCTTTGTATTCGTCTGTTTGAAATCAACATTTGGTTAAGATTTGGTGCTTTAAAAGTTTCTCTGCAATTGAAACTCAAGTCTGATGGTGTTTCCTGTGTTTCTTGAACAGCTTCTTTCACACCCTTTTATTACAAAACATGAGAAGGAAAGAGTAGATTTGGCGACTTTTGTTCAAAGCATCTTTGATCCAACTCAGAGATTGAAAGATTTAGCTGATGTAAGTACATGATGATTTAGTACTTTGTTTAGTTAGAAAATACCAAATCAAGCTTAAACAGTAATGATCTTATTGGGTTTGTTCAGATGCTCACCATACATTATTACTCCCTCTTTGATGGATTTGATGATCTTTGGCACCATATAAAATCGCTCTACACTGGAACTTCAGTTTTCAGGTAACCATACTTCCACAGTTTCTTAGGGGTGTTTATGTCGGGTATCAGCAGCAGGAGTAGTAGCGGGTAAGGTATGAGAGAATAATTCGGACAATTCATTTTTCCTGTTTTCTTCTTTCAGTTTCTCTGGGAAACATTACACAGGATCAACTGCAATCCTCTCAGCATTATCAGAAATTCGTAACACATTAACAGGAGATTTACCGAGTGAGAAACTCGTCCATGTCGTTGAGAAGCTTCATTGCAAGCCACACAACAATGGTGGAGTCACGATTCGTGCCACTGGATCATTTATTGTCGGAAATCAGTTTCTGATTTGTGGTGATGGAGTTCAAGCAGAAGGGCTTCCGAGCTTCAAAGATCTCGGATTCGATGTTGCAAGTAGACGGGTGGGTCGATTTCAAGAACAGTTTGTGGTTGAATCTGGTGATCTTATTGGAAAGTATTTTATAACTAAGCAGGAGCTCTATATTACAAACTTAGATTAGAGAAACACAAGTGAGAAAACTCTGTTTTCTACTGTATATTGTAACTATTAACTTGTTTAATTATTAACATATAATTTTGTTTGTTTAGGGTTCATAAAACAAAGTAACCAAACCAATTCATTCTGCAATTTATTGAACATGTGAAAATAAGAAACCCCACAAACATCTGTAATATTCACAAAAGAAAAAATCAATCAAAATAATGAACAAACCAAAAAAAAACCATTATAGATACTGATTACGTTTTTTCTTGTTTCTTCTCTCATTTAGGTGATGAAGGCTTAGTTGGGTGAGAAGACTTGCCAGTGAGTACTTTCTTAACTTTGGAAATTGAATGCTTTACCTTTGAACCAACTCCCGAGAGAATGCCTTGTGATTTCTTCTGAGTCTTGATAATGCTAACTGTATCTTTTGCTTCAACCATCACTATAGAATCTGGACTTGTTTTATCATCTTTATCATGTTCATGATCTGCATCTTCATTCTCATCTTCTTCTACTGTTTTAGGCTCTTCTTTGATATGAGTTTCTGTTGTTGCATCTTCAGTCTTATTTATTCCTTCCACTTTTTGGATGAGGTCTGATAGCGATTTCCTTGCTGGTTCTTTCAATGTTGGTCCAGTTTCTTTTACTTCTGAAAACAAATCTTTGGTGTTCTCAGATTCTCCATCTTTTTGCTGTAGTTCTTCTGCAATCTTTGGATTCTCCAACTTTGGAACTTCATTAGTTATTTCCCTTTCTTGTTGGTTTGTAACTTCATCTTTTTGCTGCAAAAATGAAAACAAGCTTTTGTTTGTAAGACGTACTTGACTATGAAAGAATGTGTCAATTTATCATGCAAAAAGCACGATGATGATACCAAAGTAGATTTTACCTCTGTTTTGTCTTGTGGTTTGCTGACAGAAGACAAGCTTTCAATATCTTGAATCTCGGGTTGTGTTTTTTCTATCGCATCATGGGTGTTCTTCACATTGTTGAAACAGTCCTGATTTGTTTCCTTCTGCCAAAAAAAAGCATCGTTTCTTGGATTAGATATAGATGATTGTGAAAAGAAAAACAAAAACACTACTGAAATAATGTTTCTTTTCGTACCAATTCTTCTCTGATCTCTTCCTCGACAGTATATGTTTGCTTAATCTCTTCTTGACAAATCTCTTTTGCAGCTTCGTGATCAATCTTTTCAAATGTGTCTTTCTTCTGCATTGCCAATGCCACAATGAAAATTCCGGTCAGCAACAAAGGATAATTAGTAGAACCACGGTATCTACGTTAACTAAAAGACTTATGTTTCTTTCTTTCAAATATTACCTCTTCTGCGAAATCTCCATGTTTGATTGCATCTTCCTGCACTGTCTTCACATGTTGAGCATCACTCTTCTCCTTTGTTAGCACTAAGCCAGTTTCTTCCTTTAGCGCCACAACTGAATCATGGTCATCATCTATTATTTCATCCTCAAGAACTTCCGATTTAACATTTTTACCAATGTCTTGGACACCACCTCTTATTTGGACATCTGTGAGATCAATCGACTTATGCTCTTGTTCAGGTGTCTCTTTATCCATTGCAGGAGCTTCAAATTCCTTGGGCTGATCTTTCACTTGAACGTTTTCATGCGTTATCAAAGCATTGGTATTTGTATCTTCTTGTGCTTTCTTGACTTCAAAAGAAGTTTCTTCAACCTGATTGGGAGATTGATGAGACTGAATGAGTTCACTTGGTTTCTGTACTGAAAGATCCCTTTCAGCTTCAGGGTTACTATTATTTTTGAGATCATCTAGTACTGTTGAGGATGGAACCTGAAGTTCCTCACTTAGTACTTCTTTTGTGAGACATTTATCAGCACTAACCTCTTCTCTTTGGACCTTTGGTACTTCTGTTGAAAAATCCCTATTATCGTTGCTCTTTGTATCATCTGGTATTGCTTGAGTTTCAACATGTACTTCATTTGATGCATGCTCAGCTTCACTAGCTTTCGTTATGACTCCCACTGGATCTGTAATTTGCTTCTCTGATTTGACTACCTCGTTGATCTCTTCATCATTCTCCGGGACACTGTGAGGTAGTTCCTCTTTTTCTACACCCCGCGAAACAAAATCATTACCAAGTCCAAGCTCACTCGCATCTTCAATATCCTTATTCACATCTGATGAAATAATTTCTTGTTCCTCCTCATTCTTAATTTCATCTTTTATATCAGCAATTTGATTCTCTTCTTTGACAGTTTCATGAGTCTCGCCCTTCTGCTCTTCTTGTAGATTTAGCTTCTCTGATTTTGAAGCATTGATATCTTGTTTTAGCTTGTATTCTTCTTGCTTTGCAGGAGAAATCACATCCTCTAGCTCATCAGAAGGCAACGCAGAAGATGGAATCAGAATTTTCTCACCAGGTAACACTTCTGTAAGTGTCTGATCAGCTGGAATTTCTTCCTTATACTCTGAAATCGCGCTAGTTTCTTCTTGTAATTTCTCTTCGACGTTGAATTCATACTCTCTGCTGATACCATCCTGTACTTTAACCTCTTCTTTATGCTCCTCTTGCAGATTGATTTCTTCTATTGGAAGAGATTTTCCTGCAAGACCATTTTCTTCCTGGATTTTTTCAGCTTCTTCACTTTCATCCTGTTGTAACCTGTTTGCTTCTATGATCTCAGTAGCAGGATCTTTATCATTTGATTCAACGCCAGCATCAACTGCATGTTGTTCTTGATCTGAAGGCTCTTTAATCATGTTGTCTCCCGCTGATGCAGAATCATTGATTGTTCTCTCAGTCTCAAATGTATTTTGGAGTTCTGTCAAGATTCCAACAACTGGAAGAGTTGAGTAAGTATCATCTCCATTCTCTGCGTCCTTTGGAGGATAATCATTTGTTAGCTCTGCCACTGCAACATCCGTTTTCTCTGTACTTTCGTCTTCTACCTCAGTGAATTTAGTTGAAGTCTCAACCTGATCATCTGATTTTTCTGTTCCTTCTGCTTCTGATTCTTTTGGCTTTGTTTCTCCTACCTTCTCTTCTGTTTCCATAGAAACATGTTTCTCCTCGAGTGTGTCAATAGCAGAATTATCTTCTTGTGGTATCACTGGTTCGTCTTCTCCAGAAGCTAACATGGAAACTGGAGCTTCACTGAATGATTCTCGTGGAGCAGTTTTGAATAGGATCTGATCTGCTTCTGATGTTTCAGCTAGAATAATCTGATCGACGGCAACTTGTAACGTATGTTCTTCCTTTGTTTCTTCTTCATGAACCTCATCAACCTTCTTTGAAGCTGAATCAGAGGATGGGGTATGATATTCTTGTGATATTTCTACTGGAAGAATCTGATCATTCGTAGCGTCTATTGCTTTGTCAGTCTCAGGAATTTCTTGGATCTTCTCTTTTGAGTCCTCTAGCTTTGGAGCTTCAGGGTTCCCAAACTCTTCTTGTTTAAAGGACATATTTTCTGATGTTGACGAGGTGCCTGAAATTTCTAAAGCAACTGTTGTCTCTGTTTCATTTATGTCTTCATCTCCTTTCTTTGCCTCTACAATCTGTGTCTCATTATCATTTTTCTCCAAGATTATTGATGAAGTTGGAATGTCGAAATGTTCATCCCGCTTTGCATCTTCAGGCTCTTTTGGCTTAGTTTCTCCTACACTCTCTTCTATTTCCACAGAAACAGGTCGTTCCTCTTGTGTGTCCTTTGTCTCTCTAACGTCATCTACGCAATCATTATCTTGCAGAGTCACTTGACCGTCTTCCGTACAAGCTAACATGGAAACTAGAGCGTCATCAGATAATTCTCTTGGAATAATTTCGGTAGGAAGGATTTCTTCAGCATGTAACTTGTGTTCTTCCTTTCTTTCTTCTTCATGAGTTTCCTCAACTTGCTTTGGAGTCTGGCCATTTAGTGCTGAGAAAAAATCAGAGGACGGAGTCTGATATGCCTCTGATGTATCAACCGGAAGATTCCTGTCACCCTCCGTAGCTTCTACTTTGTGTTCTTTCTCATCAATATCCTCAATCTGCTTTGGAGTTTGGTCATCTAGTTCTGACACTAATTCAGAGGATGGAGTTATATCTGCATGTGAGTTTTCAATGGGAAGAGCCTGATCACTCGTAGCTTCAACTTCTTTGATGGGCTCAGCAATATCTTGGCTCTTATCCTCTTTAGATTCATCTAGCTTTGGAGTTTCAAGTTTCTCAAAATCTTCTTGTTGCATGCATACATTTTGTGATGTCCTTGAGGTGCCTACTGTTATCTCTTCATCTCCTTTCTTTGCCTCTCCAATCAGAGTTTCATCATCGTTTTTCTCTGAGAATGTTGGCAAGGTTGAAGAATCGACATGTTCATCTGGTTTATTATCTTCAGTTTCATTCGTCTTTGTTTCTCCGTTTTCTGTTGAATTAACCTTTTCCTGATCATCCAATGGCAATGTAACAGATGGAATCTGAATTTCTTTAGCTTTGACATCCTCTTTCTCATCAACAGCTGGAAGACTCAGATGTGTTGTTTCAGAAATCTCAAGATCTTTCTCGCTCATATCTCCTGTCAGTTCTGCATCCTTCACTTCTTCTCCCTCTTTCTTCTCTGGAACAGTCACATGCTCTTTCTCCTCCAATGACGATGGCAATGAACTTGTTTCAGCAGACTCAAAATCTTTCTGGATCTTGTCTGCTACTAGTTCTTCCCCAATCTTTTCGGCTTCAACTACGGTCTCATCTTTTGGTCCCTCTGAAGGTGAAGCAGATGAAACTTGTATAACTTCATCAGATTTTTCTTCCACAGGACACTGTTGGTCGTTAGAAACTTCTTCCTTTGATGGTTCATGCTTGTCTAGTTGCTCTTTCTGCAACTCTACTTCCTTTTCTTGCTCATTTTGCAGGCAAGATTCTTCTTCCTGAGGTTTTTCTCCAAGTTCCCTTTCTGGTTCTGAAACCGTCTCTTCGGTTTTCTTGAATCCATCAGAACCTTCATCTCTACCTTCTTGATGCAATGTGAATTCTTCTATTGGTTTATCTTCGATCTTCTCATCTGAAGTTTTGCTTGTTTCCTCTGATGGTTCAGGGAGAGTCTCAAGAGCTGGCTTCTGCACCTTCTCAACTGATTCAACATCCACAAGGGTTTGGTTGTGATTGGTCTCAACTGATTCTTCAAATTTATCCTCACTTTCCATCTTCGATACTAGAGATATAACAGATTCATTTTCTTGATACTTCTCTGATTCTCCAGATTGTATATCAAGAAGATTCACATCCTTCTCCTCGCTGTTCACACTTTGAACGATGTCCTTAGAATCGACCTCAACAGATTCTTCTCTTCCCTGGCTTATCTCGAAGGTACGAGGTTCAGTATGTTCACCAAATTCTTCAGCTTGAACATCAACTTGATCGGAAGGTCTCACCTGTTGAAAGTTGTATAGGGAGAATCAACATAGTCAACATACTTAACCAATATAATAAACTCATGCCAACTCATTATCAACTTCAAAATTTTAAGGTTCACAAATTAAAGGACCATCACATGAGAACAGCAATATCTATATAATGAGATCATATCCGTACCTCATCAGAAAAAATGACAGTCTTTACTGTTTCTGCTTCCTTTTGTTCTTTATCCACTTTCAGGTCTAGACTCATTTCACTATGCACTGCCTCTGTTTCAGTTTCACTAATATTGGTCTCCAAAGTATTTAAGATCGCAGCTTCTTGGACTGTTGAAGTATCTACAGCCTCTCCTTCAAGGGTCTCACATTGTGGTATGTCTCTCTCCAACACATGTTCATGTTGCTCTGTATCCTTTGAGCTTTGATCTTCCTCTTCCTTAAGTTCTTGTGAGGCTTTCGATTCATTGTTATCTCCTTGTGTTGTCGGTATTTCGATTACCCTAGGGCATTCTTGCACCTGCTTAGATAATATTAGACTATAGATTAAATAGTGTTAATAAAGTTGGTTAAAACAATGTTTTGCTCAAATCTAGTTTTTCGAGTTTAAGAATAAAGAACAAACCGCTTCTGACGTTTGAGTTATATCCTCATCTTTTATTATGTCTTTCGTCACCTCACTTGAGATTTTCTCCGCATCGTCTGAGTTTTTGATTGCTTCCACTGATTCTGCATTCTCTCCCTGATGATCATCTCCTTTCAAGCTTTCAGATTCATGAACTGTAGCTTCCTCATTATTGACGATCTTGTCTTCTGAAACTGTCTTTTCACTCTCTATTTCCTTTATCTCTATCGCATCCAACCTTGGTTCTGCATCTATCTTTAACTCTGCCTCTTCTTCTTCTTTTTCGACTTCAAGAAGAACTCTTTTTGTAGTTTCAACATCATGTAATAATTCACCATTTGTTGCAGTTTCTTCTTCTGCAGCTTCTGCGCTATGCAAAGCATATGTTTCATTCGCAATGCTCTCACTGTTACTCGAGATCTCCTTTTCTTGTTCATCTCTGGAGCATGCCTTTTCAACTTGTTCCTCCGGCTGATTCTGATCCCTAGAGCATATTTCAGTCAAAGAAGGTTCAATATCTATGGTCTGCTCCTCTACAGCCATAGGAACTTCCTCTTGTCTCTCATGAGTTTTTATTTGGACCATCGGTTCTTCCTCCACTTTTTTTTCTTCTATTTTCTCAGAAGCAGTCTCATGTTCTTGCTCCGCTGAAGAAGATGGCAATGAACTATGAGGTTCAACTGCTACAACAGTCTCAAGAATTTTCTGCATATTGTCTACTGCTGCTGGTTCTTCCTCATTCTCTTTTTTGTTTTCCATCTTCTCGGCTTCAAAAACGGTGTCAACATCCAAATCCTTTGAAAGTGGTGCAGATGAAACTTCTATAACTTCGTCAGATTTAACTTCTTCATTTGCTGGTTCACACTTCTCTAACTTTTTTTCTTCTTTTTGCTCATTTGGTGGAGATGATTCTTCTTGTAAAGGAGTCATATCGATCACACTACTTTCTTCCTCAGCTTTTTCTCCAGGCTCACTACTCTTTGGTACTGAAACTGTCTCTTCTGTTTTTAATAATCCACAGGAACCATCCACTTGACCTTCTTGATTTAGTGTTACTTCTTCTTCTTCTGGTTTTTCTTCGATCTTCTCATCTAAAGTTTTGCTTGATTCCTCTGATACTTCAGAAGGAGACTCAACTGATGACTTCTGCATCTTCTCAACGGATTCTACATCCGGAAGAGCAACCGGTTTTGCAACCGGGATTTCCTCTGTTTCATCAGTTATGTTTTGATCAATTTGCTCTGCCTCCTCCCGATTCGTGGCTAGGCCTCTTTGTTCCTCCAAATTTTGAGTTCCAACAGTTTTATCTACATTTATCTTCTCATCCTGGAGATCATTTTTCTCTATATTTGACGCAAGATCTGATGGAATCTCTTCAAATTTCTCTTCAGTATTAGAGATTACAGCTGTCTCGGGTTCACTGTCTTGATACTTCTTTGATTCTGTAGATGGTACATCAAGAAGAACCTCATGCTTCTCCTCAGTTTTTTCTTCTTGAACAGTCTCCCAAGATATGACCTCAACAGATTCTTCTCTTCCATGGCTCTCTTCTTTGATCTCCGAGCTAAGAGGTTCAGTATGTTCACCAAATTCTTCTTCTTGAACAGCAGAAGACCTTACCTGTTGATTTAAGGGGGACAGTGACTTAATTAGTTTCATTGTAAGATATGAAAAAACATAATAAGGATCTTGTATAGTAAAACTTGTGCTAGCTCTAAAACAAAACTAGTTTAGCCTTAACCATTGTAATAAACTCATGCCATTCATTATTAACTTCAAAAATTGCAGGTTTCCTAATCTCATTATTAGTATTACACACAAAGAAGCAAAAGTTGAGAGAATCAATATCTATGCAGACCATATCCTTACCTCATCAGCCGGATTTACGGTCTTAACTGTCTCTGTCTCCACTTTTTCTTTATCCTCTTTCAGGTCCAGACTCGGTTTTGTTTCTTCTTTTGTCTCTTCAGCCTCAACTTCAAGGTTCTCACACTGTGGTACGTCTCTCCCTAACACAGGTTCATGTTCCTCTGTATCATTTGAGCTATGATATACCTCTTCCTTAGTTTCTAGTGAGGCTTTTGGTTCAATGTCCTCTGCTTGTAATGTAGACGTTTCGATTACACTAGGAATTTCTTGCACCTGCACAGTAAAGAATAAAAATACTGTTAATAAAGTAATCTAAACATGTTTTGCTCAATATGATCTATAGATTTGGGAATTTAAGACAAACCTCTTCTGTGTTTTGGGTTATCTCCTCTTCATTTTCTCTTTCTACAGTCACTTCATGGAACGTTTGCTCTGCATCATCTGAGTTTTTAATTGCTTCCACTGGTTCTGCATTTTCCTTCAAGCTTACAGGTTCAAGAACTGCAGTTTCTTCTTTGTAAACAATCTCAGGGTCTTCTATAACTGTTTTTACAGTCACTGTTTCCACTTTCTCTAGTGGTTCTTCTTCAATTATCATCTCTTCCTGGCCTTCTTCTTTTTCCGCTTCTGTTGCGGTTTCTTTTTCTGGAACTGTCTCTTTAGTTTTTACCTCAGTAGATTCTTCTCCTCCATGTCTCTCATCTTTGATTTCCGAGCTACAAGGTTCTGTATGCTCACCATGTACTTCTGCTTGAACATCAGAAGATCCCACCTGTTGATTGAAAGAAACAAATTTCAAAGAATGCAGAATTTTAAAGACGGGAACACGATGTAAATGAACTTCTCCATTATAAGATGTCAAGTTTTATTGGTAAAACCAACATAATCAGAAACTTGAGCTAATTTTAACCATTCATTCTTAATTTCAAGATTTCAGGTTATTAGTAATGATCATCATATCTTAGTTCTATCTTCTAGCATATGGACATCGTATCCTTACCTTATTAGATGAAGTTACGGTCTTTACAATCTCTGTTTCTTCTTGTTCTTTATCTCCTTTCAGATCTTGACTTGGTTTTGTGTTTTCCTCTGTCTTTTGACCTTCTTCTTCTCCTCCTAATTCACTGTGTGGCTCTGTTTCATTAATATTAGTCTTCAAGATCTCGGCTTCTTGGAATGTTGAGGTATCTACTGTCTCAGATTCAGTTACAAGCGTCTCGCCTTGTGGTATATCTCTCACCAACACATGTTCTTGTTCCTCAGTCTCCTTTGAGATTTTAACTATCTCTTCCTCCTGGTCTAATGAAGCTTTTGATTCAGTAACTTCTCCTTCTATTGTTGGTGTTTGAATTTCCCTTATACTTTCTTGCTCCTGCACAATAAAGGATCAAATTGTGTTAACAAAGAAGTATGAAATATGTTTTTCTCAAATCTGATCTTTAGCTTTGAGGGATTAAACAAAACCTCTTCTGTTTTTTGGGTTATGTCCTCTTCCTTGACTTTGTCTACAGTCACTTCATGTGAGATTTGCTCTGCATCATCTGAGTTTTTGATTGCTTCCACTGGTTCTGCATTTTCCTTCATGCTTACAGGTTCAAGAACTGCAGTTTCTTCTTTGTAAATAATCTCAGGTTCTTCTATAACTGTCTTTACAGTCTCTGTTTCCACTTTCTCCATCGCATTCACCCTCGGCTCTTCATCTGTATTCGTCTCTTCCTTGTCTTCTTCTTTTTCCAGTTCAGGAAGAGCTCTGTGTGTAGTTTCAATTACATGTAGTGATTCACCATCCGTTGCAGTTTCTTTTTCTGGAACTGTTTCATTCACAATGTTGTCACCATTCCTCGAGATTTCTTCTACTGAGACCGTTGCATCGTGCTCGGACTCTGTTCCATTTACAGAGGTCTCAACAGTTCTTGAATCTTTTTCTACTTTAACTTCATCAGTCTTCACCGGTATCTCTTCCGGGGCCTGCAATAGAGTACGGTTTCTTAGTTCAACTGATAGTGAGCATAGAAATTCAGAAGCAACATAAAACGAAAACTGTATCGAGTTCTAGCTCTTCTCTATGTCGTTTTCATCGTGTTTTAAAGGTACATCACTAATCAATACCTTAGAGATATTACCAATCTCATCCTCTTGTTCTGGTGAGTGTTTTGTTTCTGTGTGATCTTCTTCTATTACAGGCTTTTCGACACTTACCTGCGGAAAACAGAGAATTTTTATTTAAGTATACTCTCTATCTCATTAAATTTGAAGCATCTCTCATGTTTAAGCTTCAAGAAACATAAAAACTACCTCTTCTGGTTTCCCGGTAATATTGACTTCTTTCTCCTTCTCCAAAGTCACATCACTTAAGATTATCTTTGCATCTTCTATGTCTTTGTTCAAACTTTCAGGTTCATGTACAAAGATAGAGCCTTGTTCATCCTTTTCTGTCTCACTAACGATCTTAGTGTCTTCTACAATCGACATAGTCTTTGTCGCTTCAACTTTTTCGCGTTTTAATTCTTCGGTTTCTTTATCCCCTGGTGGTATAAAAAAGTATTGAGTACAAATTTCCATGCTTTTAAAGAACGTTGAAACATTTTGAAAGTGTGGCAGTTTCTTGTTCCATTACCTGAACCATTTACAATCTCTGAAACATTTGTCTCGCCCGGAATAATATTGTTTCTGCAATCACCACTAGTGATCTCATCATCAAGAACAGTACTCAGTTTCACCTTATGTACTTCCATGGATGAGTCGTCAAGTATTACTCCTGCAGGAGCTTCTCCAACATGTGTCTGTGTATATGAAAAAAAAAACATGTTAGTATATCTCATATCATAACGTTTGATTTCATCAATCATACAGAGCCTTAACCCGAAAACATGAAACAAAACTATGATCCCTACATATTACAAACTGAAGACTTGTCTCAAGCTAGTCAGAAAATTCTATAAACATATCTACTTCAGATGCAAGTCTCTTACATACAAGCCACTGAAAGATCTTGGATAAGAAAGAAAGAAAGGTTCCAAAATACAGAATTTGTAGCTAGAGAGTAAAACAGATTACAGATTCATGAAATCTAGTTTTCAAGATCTCTATCATTACTTTAAAATACTGTAATCATAAGACTGCAAAAGCAGAAAAAGAAAGGTAGAAAAAAGAAACATACTTTTTCATTTCAATTAAACTAAGCAATCTAGTCTACTTGCAAAATCAAAAAATCTAAAAGATGGAGAGGATATGCAACTTATGTTTCTTATGTAGCATAATCATAATCATCATCATCATCATCATCATACCTTAGTAGAGACTGGTTCTTGGATGGTGACAAGTCCAGTATCCATCTATCATGCAGGGGAAGCAATGATTTGGAGGTTTAGGGTTTGAATAGTTGTTTTCTCTGCAAGAAACCTACTCTGACTACTAATTCTGAATTACTCAGATCATTAGAGACATAGAAATAGCATATATATGAATATGATCACTTGACATATATTAAAAAAAAAAAAAAAAAGAGGATTTGAAGTCAGTGAGAAGACAGGTAGATAATGTATAGTGTGACAAAACTGAGCACATTTGTTCAAATGGGTTGGCTTTTTAGATTAATCTTTTGTGGGCCTTTTGAAATTGATCATTCCACATGCAACTGGTAGGATCCTCTTTTCCAGCTTTTTTTTTTATAATTATTTCTCTTAAAGCCAATCACCAAAATAGAACAAAATCATAAATAGTATTTCCAATTATTATTTATCATATTTAACACTGTATATGTTAGGACAAAAAAATAAAATTAAAAAGATAAACATCACGTATGGGCATAATAATCCATAATTTAAATTCGAAAGTTTATGCTATTTTCTACAATTTTAACTATGTTGTGGATACAATATTCATAATATATGATTCAATTACAAATTCCTTGAGTCCTATCTAATATGACATGATCTCATAAATACAATTGGGTATAAGAATTAGATATGCTAAAAAAAAAAACAGATACTCGAAAATTTAAATACAAATATAAACAATTACAAACATATATTTTTGAATATAAATTTGGGATATTCATGTATTAAATTTGAATCAAATACAAATAACGAAAATAAAAATCAGATACATATATCTTTGATTTCTTTCTTTATCTATCTAACATGGTGTATATGTCTAATTCTAAAGGTAATCTATGGTAATAGTAGAGATTTGTTTCCTCAACAGTAAAGAAATAGTTTATAATGTAAAAATTATTTTTGTGATTTGTCTCTAAACGCAATCAATTGAAAATTAGAATTTTTATAAAGTAATAAAAGTATTTTGTGATTTGTCTTTTTCACCATTTACCTTCTGCATTTATATTTCTAGATAGTAACAATAATACAAAATCAGATTAGAGGTTATGATCATGTTTTGTTTTGTAAAAGAATTTTCAAAAATTAAAGCAATAAACATAAATTAAATCACATCATCATCATTGATCACAACGTTAGTGGAATCTTATGCAAATGTTAATAAGACATATTGTCCATTTCAATTTCAAACAAAAAAAGCTGGCCGCCATTACGAAAACCGACCCATCATACCCAACTTGTATTACTATATGCTCTCTCTAATTTTATTGATATATTATTCATCAATTCCTCACGGTCCATACAAAAAATTAAATTGTACTTAAAAGTTATAATTTATCAGGAAAAAGACCGATAATTATGCTATTAAAACGCCGTCAAATCATATATATAAAAGTAAGGTTTCACTCTCTCTTTATTGGTGGAAAAATATTTAAACCTTTAATTTTTTTTTTAAAAAAAAATAAATAAATGTTTATGACAATCATTTAATACAAAATTTAATTACACTATAAGTTATAATCAAATGGCAAAGAAAATGAAAGGACTTAATCATATATCATTCAACAAAATAAATAAATAAATAAATTTTTATGACAATCATTCAATACAAAATTTAATTACACTGTAAGTTATAATCAAATGTCAAAGAAAATGAAAGGACTTAATCATATATCATTCAACAAAATAAATAAATAAATAAATAAATGTTTATGACAATCATTCAATACAAAATTTAATTACACTATAAGTTATAATCAAATGGCAAAGAAAATGAAAGGACTTAATCATATATCATACAACAAATTTTATAAGGCTTGTTGGTGGAAAATTATTTAAAATCATATATATAAAAGTAAGGTTTCACTCTCTTTATTTTTCCATTTTGTATTTATTTTTTAAAATATAATATTTCTTTTTAATTAAACCAAAAAAACATATTTAATCATACATTAATTCATACTTTAAATTCACACTTTACTACTAAAATGAAACTGAAAATTATATAAATTTCCAAAGACTATTGGTTTTCTTTTATTGAATTCTAATTAAACACACTATAAATTATAATTATAACTCTTCTAATTTAATTATTTTAAAATGTAACTTACATCACTTCTTATCATATAAATAGCCATTCTCACATCCTTCTCTACCATATATCATATCTTCATTATTCTCTTTGTTTTGTTTTTTAAAAGTTCTTGCATGGGGTGAAAACTCATTTAAAATATCATTGTAAGAGTTTGATTAATTATTTAGTTTAAACTTTTATTTTCAATTTTTTTTTTTATGTATTTCTTTATGTCTTCATTGTTTTTTATATTTTAAAATGTAATACATATGTATAATAATATTTTATGGTTATAAGAAAATCAAGCTAAAGAAACCATCTTCATTATTTTACATTGGATGTTTGTTTCTTTCTCACATATTCCTGTATATTTATTTTAATTTCAAAAGTATGTAATTTTTTAGCAAAATAAACTTTTTGTAATATAATTATCAAACCAATTTGTAAGACATTCTTTTAAGAATAATGATCCTTATATTTAGTTTGTGATTCAACATGTAATAATAGAAACAACATTATAATTTTTGTTAACTTTGAATTTTATACTTGATTTCCTATATAAAAAACAATTTGATATTCAATTTTCTATCTATTATATATACTACAACGATGAAAAATATAATTAAACCTAGAGATATAGCTTAAATTAAGAGGAATATAAAAACAAATTAAAAAATAAAATTATTCTTTGGGAATTTTTTAAGGTTTCTTATTGGTCCATTTAGCATTTATTTTTCAATCATAATATTTATTTTTAATTAAACCAAATATCTAACACATTTAGTCGTATACTTTAATTCATACTTGAAATCCACGCTTTACTATTAAATTGTAACTTAAATTATATAACCTTTCAATTGACTATTTGTTTCCTCCATTCAATTTCAATTAACACACTATAAAATATAATTATAACTCCTCTAATTTAATTATTTTAGAATTATAACTTACATCATATTTTATCCTATAAATACTCATTTTTACATCCTCCTCCACCATATCTGATACTCTCAATATTTTCTTTGTTTAATTTTTAATGTTCTTGCATGGGTTGAAAGCTCAAATTAAGATATCATTGTAAGAGCTTGATTATATATTTGGTTAAAACTTTTGTTTTCAATTATATTTCTTCTTTATTTTATGTACTTCTTCATTTTTTCATTTTTTTATACTATTAAATATATAATGCATATGTATAATAATATTTTATGGCTATAAGGAAATTACTTTATCGATGAGATTCAAAAGTATTGATTTCTGACCATCGTACTGTAAGAAAATAAAGTTAAATAAACCATCTTTATTGTTTTACTTTATATGTTTTTTTCTTTCTCACAAATTCATGTATATTTATTTTATTTTCAAAGTATGTAATTATTTTAACAAAATAATTTTTGGTTATATTCAAACCAATTTGTAAGACATTGAAATAAAGAAAAATTTTATACACAAATAAAGGTAATTTGTGTGTATATTTATAAGTTTACACATATATATATGGATAAATTTTAACATTTTTAGTGGTTGTTTTGATAAAGTTTGAAAAGGGAGTAAATTTAAAAAGTGGTATTTTTAAAAGGGTATTTTTTAAATTCTCCCAATATCATTCCTATTTTTATCATTAACAATATTATTGTTTTATCAAAAAATACTTAAAAGCGCTAAAGAAAATTACTATCAAAATTGAACAATTAATCAACGAATAAATTCAAAAGATATGGATGTATGCTTCTATTGTATGATTTAAATAAATAAAATGTAAAAATGTCATAAACATTAAAATTTATTTAATCTATTTTTATAAGTAAGAAATAAATTAAAATAATTAAATAAAGATACAACAACCCGCGCATGTGCGCGGGACATTACCTAGTCTATAAAAAAAATGGTGCTATTAAAACCAGTTTTGTGGCTTTTTTTTTCCTACCAAAAACAAATTGGGTTTTAAACTAAAATGCAATATCTGGATCATTGTTGGATTGGTGCAATCAGACAAATTCGGGTTCAGTCTAAAGAATGTTGATTTAAAGCAATGTCCTGTTTATTTTTGTCATTTTATGTTTGTTTGGCAACTAATTATTTTAATAAAAAGCAAATGACACCACATTTATATATTTTTTTTGGCAACACACACCTAAATTATTTATATTAGTTGTAAGTTTATTTTCCTTTTTAACAATCTATACTAATTAAAAACAAATTGCGAATGGTCCAGCCAAATATATATACATTTCTTCCTTTTATTTATGGGTTAATCATCATATTATTTGAATTTTAGTGACCAATTTCATTATACATATGTTCTATACTTACATTTTCTTGTCACTCTAAATATCATATATAAAGGTAAATAGACGTTTATATATAAAGGTAAAAAGAATTTATGTATTCATTTTTTTTGAATTCGGTAAAATAAAATATTATCTAGACCTTTTGAATACAATCTATGTATCTTTTTAGTTTGCACAATATATTTTATACAAATTGAGTAATTCGGTTTCGCATCCAAAAAGGATGGATACATATATCAACATGCAAGATTGATTATATGTTAAGATTTATATTCTCTACTGTAATTGTCTATATGTGATTATTAATTTTTTATTACTTATGCAGAGTTTAAATTCCATTTTAGCTAAGTTGTATACCATCTACAAAATTATATGTAACCATATTCGATAATTGTAAAATTTATAGTAAAAATAGAATTGAAAAAAAAACATCGAATTTTTTTAATACTTAATCATCTAAGGCTATTAAATCCTATTTTAGAAAAATTGAATAGGTTTTTGATATTATTTTGTAGGTTGTGTATCAAAAATATGATTATATTTTAGAGTTATGATAGTAATGGGAAAATAAAAATATATTGTTGTCTTGTTGATATAACCTTTTAGAAAACTTCTAGCGTTAATAATGTTTGACGCCATTTAATTGCATAATTTGGAAATGAACATCAATGTGGGTCTACTGTGTTTTGTGGTTTATATAAGTCTCGTATCCGTATGACATATAAGTAACCTAATTGTTAAGACTAAAACCTAAATTACAATGCATGCAAATTGATTTAAAGAAGAGGCTATAATCAAACCGACCAAACCAAAAAAAATATTGTCCTTACGCCGCCGTCCCAAACTAGATTATCGAAGATAATTCCAATTTTGCTTTTGCCCACCAATATTAAAATATAATAAGGTCATGATAACAATTGGGATCAAAAAGCAAGTTAATATACAAAGGAATATGATTTGGTGTGATGTATCTATCTTATCTAGAGAACTGATTGCGTAGACGACTGGATCACTTTTACTTAGCCTAATAAATTCCCCAAAAGAGGATGATCTGGCCCGATTGGTTCAAGTTCACAATACTTAGGGATATGAGTGAAAGTGAAACATTATGAGCTGATCACGCAGTCACTGACTCACTGAGTCACCAAATAACGCTAAAAGTTGTGGTGAATATTTGGGTATGTTTCTTTTTTTTGTAAACTCTTTCAGGTTAACTCTTTGGAGATATCTTGGGGAGGGAACATGATGCGTATCATGCAGAGCAACTATTATGGATCGTCAAAGTCCGTTGTAACCCATGACCACATCTCAAACTATAATCCAAAAAGGATTTGGGAGAATACTCTTTATTGTTGTGTGTGTTCTTGATCTTTAGAGAATTGATACTATATATATAGGCTAACATATGTTTAACCTACTTAGAATAAGGAACAGATAAACATGATTAGGTAAATATTCTAAATCTCTTAATCCTTATCACACTTCTAGAATATTCTTCAACTTGAGCTTCACGGGGATCACTTTAATAACAGACTTTGACGGTTCATAATAGTTGTTCCGCAAGATACATATCTTGCTCTCCAAAATATCTCCAATATAGAGTAATTTATACATTACTAACATAGTGAGTTTTGAACATGCATGGCCATATGCTATGTATCTAAGTTCTTGAATATGTGTATGCTTGTAAATGTATTGGACCTTTGGTGGTTACATTGAACACTTCTGATAAGTAAATAATCTAATTAGGTTGGTTGACCAAAAGAGTCCCATTTTTTCTTTCTTTGAAATGTAAAATTTCTCTAATAAAATAGATAAGGGTCGGCTCTTTTGTTGGTCCTACTAACGTTACTTTCAATTTCAGTTTTGAGTTTTAAAAATATGTCAAATTGACGTTATTCAATTTTTTTACATTGATTTTATAACGTTTTGAATGTGGGTAAATCTAATGCTTATGTATGTGACACTATATATATGTCAGCCAGCCCTAGATATTCCCGACCTTCAACTTGTCTCTATCGCCATTCATATCTCTCAAAGGTCCATTCATCCTATCGCCAAATAATTGAATATTAATCAGTACTTTCTTACATAAAGAAATAATAATGATAGATCATATCTATATATAAAATAGCATTGCAAAACCTTAACTAAAAGATAGATTTGATTACATCATTTTTTTTTTGTCTAAGAAATAAATTAGGATGCATATATTTTTATTTATTTATCAGGATGCATATTTATCTATAGAATAGTATAGAACCCTTGCTCAAATAATTACGAGTGAAAGCCAAAATTTAATTACAATTAAGAAAAAATACATTGTAAAATACATCGTATTTGTATCATAAATAACTAAAATGAAACTATGACTTACATATCTCTTTGTATCCCACAAATGAGAAATAACTACTTTTACGATTTCTAGGAGACTAGGACTCTAATATCATCATGTTTAACGCCGAAACTAGAGGAAGAGTAATCCATCATGATCATGATGATAATCGCCCAACCAATTCTCATCTTTTTATTTTTATCAAGTCTACTATGTTTTCAAATGTTGTATTGCTTATAGTTTTAACTTTTCAATGCATCAAAATTCGATTTATCTTTCTATGCAATAACCCATTTTTAGAAAACAATATTTTTCACTCTCATTCTTATATAGGGTTTGTGGAAGTTTAATGAATTAAGACTTATATACTTCATTTTTCTCTTGGAAAAGTAGGAAGGAGAAAGAAGAGACATAGAGAACAATGATGGTGGACATCATTCTCTAACCATATGATAAATGTATAGGAAGGAAGACTCGGAATTATCTTAGTCGTGTCTAACCCCTTTATACACTAAGTGTTGGCACTATCCATCCGATCATAGTGTATATAACTAAAACAAAGTTCCCAAGAACAATATGTGTGACTAAAACCGATCATACCATTACCAAACCACGACACCACCCATGCATGCTGGTCATAATATTGTTAGGATCTAAGATACTCTTTAAGATGTTACCAATAAGGATGTCCTTATAAGAGTGGAACTGGTTTGTCAAAAAATTTGGTTTATGTCGGTCTTAAGATTTTGTGAAAGATTCAAAAGTCATTTGTGATATTGCAAACAGTTTAAACCGTAAAAAAAATAAAATCTTGATGATTTACAAAAAGGGAAAAAACTTAAAAATACCTCATCCATTTTTTATTTGGACGTTTTATACTTGATCTTTTTTTGTTGGAAGAATAATACCCAAAATAATAAAAACATGCAATTTAATATTTAAACTATTAAATATTGACATTTTTCTACCTTAAATCTGTCAACAAAAAAAAAATTCCAATTTTATCTTTCTTCGTTTATATTTATTATTAATGCATAAATGATATGAAATTAATTACAATTTTATTGGAAAACAAATATTTGCTTGTAATATTTTATTGTATCATTAATTTATAGATTTGTCATTGCTAGTGCATCAAATTGATTTTTCAACTGAACCTAAATTAAACCGACTTTATACTAAACCGGGATAAATTGTAAATAAACCGAATTGTTATCTTCTTCAGTTGGTTTATAAAAATCTCGCGGGAACCATTAAAAAGGGCGGGAAAAAGAGCCGTTGTGACACCAAAACCTCTCGAACTATGCCGCCAAAAATAAGAAAAGACGGTGGTTGCGAGACACTGCCCGTAATATATTTCTCGGGCAACTAAATTTTATCCTTCATATTCCCAATTATACCCCTACGCTTTCTTCATCTTCTTTATATTCTTTTTTCTCCTGAGACTCGGACATATACACACAGAATACTATTTTTTGACTATTTAAATCCTCTCTTTCTCATCATTTTTGCTTTCAAAGCAAAACAAAAAACAAAACAAACAAAAAAAAACCAAATCTTTCTCTCTTTCCAACGAACACAAGTCTCTGTTTTTTGTATCTCTCTGTTTTTGTATGGTTTTTACTCTGTTTTTTTCTTGATTGTTGAGTTTAGTTGAAGAGAGAAGAAGATGGGGTTTTCGAAGAAATCTCAATACGAAGGAGGTTTAGAATCCGACGGGAAGAAATGGGTTATCGCCGGAATCTCGATTCGTGCGACGTTGAAACCGGTGAAGACGAAACTACTCAGACCGCCGCCGGAGATAGAAGCCGAAGTTGAAGAAGATTACTACAACGAAGAGGAAGAATGTTCCACGACGACGACGACACCGACAGCGAAAGAAGCGAAGATACCGGAGAAACTTAAATGTCCACCGGCGCCGAGGAAACGACGACCGGCGTTGAAATGTCGGAGTAACGCTGTTACAGAGTTCTTTACTCCTCCGGATGATTTAGAGACGGTGTTTATACGACGTCGTTAGAAATAGTTACCAAAAAAATGGAATTAGTGAGTTTATTATATAGTTTCTCTAATCACAAACCATATTGAAAACTTTGGGTTATTAATTTAGACGTAAGACATATATTTGTAATGATTTCTTTTTTTAGTTAACAGAGAGTTTTTTGGATTTCAGATCTCAGTTTGTTTATTTTCTTTCTTCTTGTTGTTGTACAAGAGATGTAGAAACTAGTGATGATAATGAGAAGCTTCTAAATTAGAGCCTTATTACATAATGTGTTCATCACATAGATTAATACACTAATTTGAATGTATAAAACTTGGGATAAAACTATAGCCTCAGGGATTTAGATTCATCAGCGGCTACGGAGGAGACCGGCCGGGAAGTGACGTGAGCAAATCTTACCCAGTAGCTCAACTACCAAAATATAATAAAAAAATAAGATTACCAATAATTTTATGACAAGTCCACACGTCAAGCCCTTTGACTCTATACTCTATGTCTCTATATGCAATACTCGTTTTATAGGATTAGTTTATGTTACTTCAGCATGTAATAATGTTTTCTCTATCATCAAAGGTTGAAATTGTTTTTGACATAGGTTGAAGTGTTTGGGTTTCGGTTTTGATTTTAAATGTTTGTTTTTGTAGTTTATACTTTATTCAATGTGGGAAACAAAATACATTTTTGAGTTGAATCAAAGGGGAAAAAAAAAACAAAGTTAGGATCAAATTTGGTTATAGAATAAATCTATGACATGGTATTGTACAAAAATTATAATTATAGTTTATTTTTAATCCAATGTTCATAAAAAAATTTGGAAAATTCATACCAAAAATTTCATTCCAAACTATATATAATATTATAGTTTACTTTAACCAGTGTTGGGGCGATATAGTTTTTATTAACAAATAATATGGTGGGGATCTAATATCATTATTAGCAATCTTTAATTTCAAATAAAAAGAGATAAATCATACTGTTAAAAAAAAAAAAGAGAATAATTTTATAATGCACACATGTACTGTAATACTAATGATTTAAAAGGATTCTGTAAGAATTTTGACTCTTTTAAGGAGGTCTCTACTACTTCTAAAGCCATGCATCCAAAAATACAAAATATATGATTCTTTCTTCTTCAAAAGCTCAGGTTTAAAGAGCTTTTTTGCGTGCACAATTTCACACTCACTCACTCACTAGTCTCTTTTAATTTCATTGACCACTACTTTGTATTGTACTAAATTAATTTTATAAACGCCAACAAAAACATTATGATTAGTAATTACTCATGCCTAAGCACCAGTAGTAGTACTAGTTGTTATACCCAATACTATGTGTTGCATGTAAATCAATAATCCCCACTCTCTATCTTTGTGTTAAGACACTGAGTCATAAAAAAGGACAAAATAGTGTTCAGAGAATAGCGGTGCGATGGGAGAATCCAATGTAGGGACTTAAGAGCTTTTGTTTGGTTCCTTTACGAGACAACGACCAATCTCGTGTTTCTTTTTTTATGTTTGAAATGCTTACAAGAAGAAATATTTGAACAGAAGGAGACTATACGTACTACTATGACGATTGATTGACGAGTTTGGATCATTCTTGTGAACGAGTTTATATCACCGTCATGCCTCTTTATAAGGAACTAATACATACATACATTTTCTTTTCAATACTATTTATAACGTCAGCCGAATGAGAATCCAAGTACTCGAGGATTGATAGGTTTCACAATTGCAAACACTATAGCTTTCAGATGTCACACAACTTATGACAGCCGAATCTTTCCATTTCGAGAAACTTTAAAGATTAAATTCGAAGCATCTTTCCAAGACGATGTGTTCACTTAACAAGGAGGTTTCGATTATTTATACTATTGATTTGTTTTCAAGTTTTGGGAAGAATATATCAAACTAGAACTTGTTTTCTGATGATATAGTATGACTGGTTTTGTACCTTATAGAAGAAATTTACATATTTTTATTTTCTAAGTAAAATATATTATTTAAAATTTAATATAGTGTTGTTTTATGTTGTAGAAAATAGTAGCATTTGTGTGTTAATTTGCTTTTAGACGCAAAGGAATCTTAATTAGTATCAAAGTAAAAAAGATAGGGTTTGAATCTGATGTCTCTAGTTCAATAATACATATATACACCAGTATGAGTAGCACTGATCAGTGATGGTCTAACGCTTTTGAATATCGTATAAAAACGAGACTTTAATTAATTTAGAAAAATGTTTTGGGTTAGCTTCATTTTTTTAGGTTTTGTTTCTTACCGTTTTGGGGTTTTAGAAAAATGTCGTTTATTGTGTATATCAGTATATGTATATAGTGATAACGTGACAATTACACATCCATAAATCAGTTTGTCAAAGGTAGTGCTGTAGACTCGAGAAGGACCATCTCCCAACTAGTTAACCTAAGTAATTATACATTTGTTTCTTTAATTTTTTTTTGGTTTTACACTTTTGTTTCTTCTCAATTCATTGTTTGAAGCAATATATATCCTTCATTTTTCATATGCCGTATTTTAAATACTTTCTTATCGTATATTGCGTGAACATGATATATCATATGAAGTGCATATATATATACATATTAATAGAGGAATTTTATATTCTTTTGTACTGTCTGAAATTTTTTGGTTCTCTTTTATTTAGCCAGAGACATACATTACATATGTGACATGTGCTTCTGTCTATATAGATATGAAATATAGCTTATACCTCTTCTTCAACAAAAATACAAGTGCTTATTTTGTAGGGGACCAATATATAATCCATTAAGTGATAAATTATATAAACATCTGTTATTTATATATTGCAAATTGCAATATTCATTTTCTAATGTTTTTTTTTTTTTGAGTTTGAATCATATTTTTTGTGACGAACAATTTTTTTTATACAACAAAAAAGCGCTAAAAAGAAATATGAATGTAAAAGCGGATTATTTGGCACGTCAAATGCGTTCTATGCCGCTTTTTGTCAGGTTTGAAAACAATTGTTTTTATACTTGACTCGTTTGAGTCGATCTTAGACCCTTTGATGACCAAAAAAGAAAAATATGAGAAAACACCACTTATATATATTGTTTGTTTTGGTGATTTCATTTGGTTTTGAAATGAAACAGAGCTTAAGTTTAGTATGCGATCTTGTTGCAAGTATGGCCTTTATTTAGCTTAAACAACAGTGAGTGAACATATGTTAAGTTTAAGTTAATCCTAGCTAGTAATCATCATTGGATTTTAAGTTTTCTTTAAAGTTGTTTATGGGAAAAAAATCTTCAGCAGCCGCACAAAGCATGCAGTAGAGTTACATGTATTTTGTTTACTGAGTCTGTCTTTTAATAATTTTTTTTTTTTTTTTAAAAGACACATTTTGGCTAACTCTCTCGATCTCTTTCACTTTAACGCGGTTTTGACTTCTTCTGCCCGTCTTGCCCGGTTTATTAGGGCGGGAAAAAAAAAAGACCGTGGCGGCTGTTTGGTCCAAGTCTGCGTCAAGAACACGTGTCTCACTGCAGTATTGACACCTCATCCATCATATGGTGAGAGAACAAAACCCGAAAGTGATGGTGCAGATAAACCCAACTAATCAAAGCCCAGCCCAAACCAGATTCTTAAACCCAACCAATAAAAGCCCGAACCAAATCAGATTCTTAAACCCAACTAATAAAAGCTCAGTCCAAATCAGATTCTTAAACCCAACCAATAAAAGCCCAGCCCAAATCAGAGTATTCTTAAACCCTTACCTTTCCTAGTTTCTTTCTTGACAAGGTTTCCAAAAAAATCAGTTCTAGGGTTATTTATATGTAACATAGTTTTTTTTTTGGTAAAAGGTTAAATTATATAATAAGATAGTTATTGCTGCTCTCTCAAACTCTTCCCAGAAAATAAAGAAACCGGCGGTGTTAACTGTTTACACCTTCACCATGGACAGTTCTAGCAAGGAATCGGCCGTCAACGTCGTTAGCTTATTAGGTTTGTGTTTTCTGTGGCTCTGCGCTCTTATCTCATGTGGCTGAAGAAGAAGAGGTTGTTGATTTTGGTTTTCACTTCTCTTCTTTCATTCATTCAGGTAAACGAAACCCGGAAGATGATGATGATTTAGAGACAAAACCGTTTCTAAAGAAACATAAGGACACAACATCATCCGAGGAGAAGGTAACCTAGTTAGACATGGTCTCGATTTTCATAACACTGTGTGTGTTCTAATGGCTACTACGTACTCTCGTGTATGTAATAGGATACAGCGAAAGGATTTGGTGATACTCTCCAGCTCAAGGCTGATAAGGTATCTTATTTTTTGGTTAAGTATCCAATGAAGCATCTTTCTTGTGCTAACACAACACACTTGGCTGTTGGATTCAGGATGCAGCTGCGCCTGCGATAACAAAAAAGACGCTCTATATGGGCCATCTCTCTGGCCACACTAAAATATCAGATATGTAAGTAGCTCTGTAGCAGCTCCTTAAGATAATTTTCACTTAGGGGGTGTTATTAGTTGTTTAAGTTAAATTCAACTCCATTGAGACTGATTTACTATTCATTCTTTAAATCAGTGGAAGTGTATTTACACTGACACATGATATCTTTTGGTTTTGAATAATAGAATTGAATTCTATAACAAATGATTTTACAATTTTTAATGAAATTATACCAAACTTTTACCATCACGTATTTTTTTCCCATTTCAAATTTCTGTATTGAAGTCTTAGTGGGTGTTATTGGATAATGGATTTTAATAGAGTCTAACTCTAACCCAAGTCTAATGTTATTTAATCAATGATTTTAAAACAATATAC